TCTAGCTTCTTTTAAGGATTCAGTCACTGCTAACAGAGCAGTTTCAGTGGAGTGGCCCTTTTTGAACCCAGATTGGTAAGGGTCAAGCAGACAGTTTTGTGAGAGGTATTCTGTGATCTGCTTGAAAGCCACCCTCTCAATGATTTTGGACAGAAAAGGGAGGAGAGAGATAGGTCGGTAGTTCTCCACATGACTTGGAGGAAGAGATGGTTTTTTAGCAGCGGTTTAACCTGAGCATGCTTGAGAGAGGTGGGAAATGTACCGGATGTCAGTGAAGCGTTGATCACATGTGTGACTGCTGCGGCTACTGTAGGAGCAATAGCTTGGACCAGCTTAGTCGGAATGGGGTCAAGTGGGCATTTAGTAGGGCGGCTGCACGTGAGAAGCTTGGACACACAGTTCTCAGTGAGAGGGGAACAAGAGGAAAATGAAGCAGTAGGGCTTGAGATGGTTGGGCTTGAAGGAGTTTGTGGGAGTGAATGTTCAGGAGTGGCCAGTTGAGTAAACTGTTTGCTTATAGCTTCACTTTGTCAGTGAAGAATGAGGCAAAGGAGTCAGCTGATAGATTGTTGGTAGGAGGTGGAGACGGAGGGTTGAGCAGAGTTTTGAATGTTGAAAATAGTTTCTGAGAGTCAGTAGAGCTGAGAATTTTGTCAGTGTAGAAAGCTTTCTTTGCATCAGTGATGCTGGCAGAGAATGAGGACAGTAATTCATGAAATTTCAATTGATAGATATGCCAGGACCTCCAACCACAACGTCTGCCGCCATCTACACCAGCTCAGTGGCCTAGTGGTAGAGTGTCCACCCTGAGACTGGGGGATCAGGGTTCAGTTCCTGGTCAGGTCATACCAAAGACTTAGAAAAAAATGGGACCCAATGCCTCCCTGCTTGACACTCAGCATTACGAGGTTGGATTGGGGGTTAAACCACCAAATGGTTCCCGAGCGAGGCTGTGTCTGCTGCTCACCGCTCCCCCAGGGGATGGGTCAAATGCGGAGAACAAATTTCGCACACACATCAGTGTGTGTGACAACTAATGGGACTTTAACACATTAAACGTGATTCATTAAAAACTTACAGGTTCATTGTCCTGGTTTGAATTTGTGTCTCGCTGCTGTTCTGTGAAAACGCATTCGTGACCCTCTCTATTTGTATTTTGGAGCCTTCATCGAGGCTCATTTACAGTGTTGGTGTGTTCATTTCTGCTGACCGTTCCCTGGCATGCCGCCGCTGATAATTAGTCTTTGATGAATAAAAAGGTCAAGCTACAGGTCAAGCAGCACGCTTCAGTTTTAGGAGAAAAATCTTAGAAATTTATAGAGACAAAAGGCAGAGTGTCCCAGGAGCCCGCTGAAGAAAGGCTGTCCGGAGAGCACGGAAAATTTGGGGAGCACGGGACGTCCGGGGAGCACAAGATGTTCAGGGAACATGGGATGTCCGGGAAGCATGGGAAACTCCGGGAGCACAGGAAACTGTGGGAACACGGGAGTTCGGGGAGCACCACATGTCCAGGACATCCAGTTTTTTGTTTGTGTGATCAGAGAAAATATGATGTTTTTTAAAAGCCTTTTTGGGTGTTTAAATGTGATGGAAGTTAGTTTTTTAGTTTGTTTGTGAATTTTAAAAAGAACAGTTCTAGTTCAGTCCAGAGGATGGGTTTTCTCACTAGTGATGATATGAAGGATCTTCTGAGACGTGAAAGAACGTCTTTTCTTTTCTCCACTCGTGAAGCATGAGATGACTCTAACATGTGTTCACCTGCTGGTCAGTCTGCAGGTGTGTGTGTGTGTGTGTGTGTGTGTGTGTGTGTGTGTGTGTGTGTGTGTGTGTGTGTGTGTGTGTGTGTGTGTGTGTGTGTGTGTGTGTGTGTGTGTGTGTGTGTGTGTGTGTGTGTGTGTGTGTGTGTGTGTGTGTGTAGGGAGGGGTCCGTGGTGAAGGGAACAATGAGGACCAGATGGTTAGACCATTTCTCCACCTGCTTCATGTACCTCACATCCACTTTCAATTTTCTTGTTAAATCATGTTTATCCGTGTTCGACCGTCCGCGTGGTTAGAAAATTTCCTAGGTGCGCGGTGCGGAAAGTTTGGGCCGTGCGGAGGCGCGGTGGAGGGGCGTGGTTGTTAAAATGATGCAATTTTGCCGCACAGAGCCGTGCGAACCTGGCAGACACGTCAAGCATAAACCAAGCTTCAGTGTGAGCATGCGCGTCAGCCATGTGCGGTACGTCATGGAAAACAAAGGTACCTATTGGCTGATTTCTTCTACTACTGCTACACTGGTGGCTCATTACTGCCACACGCTGGCTGCAAATTTAACAGATTGCAACTGATGTAACAGACTGTGTTAAAAATAGACCGGTAAAACGTGATTATAAAACAACTAATCGATGATTAAATAAGTTGTCAACTATTTTTATAATCGCTTATAATGTATTAAATCGATTAGTTGTTTCAGTTCTACACGTGTGTAACGTCCAAAAGGGTCAATTTTCTCCTATATATTGATCAACATAAAAACCTTTTATCTACAGAAATAAATCCACTTCTATGTGGCCTTCCAGATCCACAACGTTCTGCTCAGCGCGTGTTGACATTCCATGAAGACCAAACATTCAAACAAACATTCTCTCCCAAGGTTCCTGCCCTCACTGTGTGAACGCCAGACGTCAACGTTCTTCACTCTGAATAAGTGAAGACTCCACGATGTTGTAGTTATAAGTTAAATAATCAGATGTGATGAATGAACAAGATGTCTGAATGAAATCTGTGCTTAAATCAATGAATTTGAAATAAATATTGTTCTTACAACGATCCATTTATATCAAAAATCATTAAGTGTTTGATTTAACAGTTAATCGTTGTTTACACTCATACACAGTACAATAAGATCCATATTAAGCTTTAAAAACATCTTTGTGTCTGAAGGAAGGCGTGGCTTTCTGAGGGATGTTGGTAAATACTCAGAAACGTGTCAAATCCTGAGTTGACAAACTTGGCCAGAAATCATAGCAAAGTAGTTTAATAAAACAGGAATTACTTCCCGATTAATTTCAGTTTCCAGCTGACCCCCGATTCGGCCAAATCAGGAAAGAAGCATCTCTTTTTGAAACAATCTCCTTTGACCTTAAGTCAAAACCTTTCTGTGACGCTGCTAGTGATGACAGACTCAGGTACTTCACACCTTTGGACACCTAACCTGCACACCCTGGGTTGCATCTCATGGCCGGGGAAGTTGAACTCAGAGGAAGTTAACCCTAACCCTAATCTCTGAGTATTGTGGTTTCGACGTCCGGTGACCTTACCTCTCTGACCACAACCCTCCGGACCGCCGGGAGCAACTCATACACGGGTATCGTAAGCCTGCGTACTGGTGTCTGATGAGGTTTATAAATAAACAACTCTTTAGTTAATAACAAACAACACATTCTTTTACACCCAGAGTTCACATTGTCTCTCGGATACAAAGAACGGTTGCTACAACATCTAGCTTCCATCACAACACCTCACATCCACCACACCACATCTCCTTTTTCATATCTCGTCATCAAAGATACTTTATTGATCCCAGAGGGAAATTAGAGATCATGTATCATTAGTTTAGGAAAAATAATTAAATTAATTTTATAAACTACATACTGACTCTGAATTAATACGAAGTGTGTTTGTGGTCCCTGAATAAGCAAAGAACCCTAGAATCTTCCGATTAATCATTCAAAAATCTATCAGATTGATATTTCATATTTATATGGAATATCACATCTGATTGGTCATAACTGATATGTATGAATTGCTACACTTGATACCGACTTTTACATTTACAGAACTGTGATTAACAGAATGTCAAGAATGTTTTTGATTCTCTTGAAAACTGTTGATATGATTTATCAGCGTAACGCTCGATATTGGTTCTATTAGCTGTGTGTGTGTGTGTGTGTGTGTGTGTGTGTGTGTGTGATTCTCCAGGTGTTATGAATTATACTTTTACAGATGATGAGTTTAAGGACCTCACTGTGGTTTCTAAACATATTCCAACTGGCCAATCTCCATTTACATCAGTTTGATTAACTCCATCCATCTATTTTGTGTGCTTATCCGGGGTCGGGTCGCGGGGACAGCAGCCTAAGCAGAGAGGCCCAGACTTCCCTTTCTCCAGCCACGTGGGCCAGCTCCTCCGGGGGAATCCCAAGACTTTCCCTGGCCAGTCGAGAGACATAGACATAGAAAACCTCACCAAGGAGGCGTCCCATCTAGATGCCCAAGCCACCTCATCTGGCTCCTCTTGATGTGGAGGAGCAGCCGATCTACTCTGAGCCCCTCCCAGATGATCGAGCTTCTCACCCAATCTCTAAGGGAGAGCTCAGCCACCCTGTGGAGAAAATTAATTTCAACCGCTTGTTTCCGTGATCTCGTTCTTTCAGTTACGACTCAGATCTCGTGACCAGAGGTGAGGGTAGGAACGTGGGTCGACCGGTAAACCGACAGCTTTGCCTTTAGGCTCAGCAGCCCAGCCAGCTAAACATACTTGATTTATTCTAATTAGTTCTCATGAGGAACGCCAGGTGGATGGCTTCCACAGAACTTTAGTTTCAAACAGATTTTATAGATTAAACCTGATCCTTCGGAAATAAAATCTAACTGGATGTTTCACTTGACATTCGTCAGGTCCAGTGCTCCCTGTTGGGTGTTTACACGAACCCGTGAAGACAAGTACACACACACGCACACACACACACACACACACACACACACACACACACACACACACACACACACACACACACACACGCACACACACACACGCACACACACACACACACACACACACACACACACACACACACACACACACACACACGCACACACACACAGCGTCTGATCTAAGCTCCGAACCAGGAAACATGAATAAGGAATGTCCTTTAGGGGTGTTTATAGAATAATCCTTGTGGCTCCAAGTGAATATTTAACAAGGGTTGAAAGGATCGTTTTGTCTCCGTGTTTAGGAACCATCCGTCCAGTCCGAAGGAGTTTCTATGATCCCACCTCAGCTCCGGGTCAGGGCTGGCAGTGGGAGTGGGAAAACGATGCGGGAACGTGGACGCCGTACGACATGGAGGTGGCCATCGCCATCGAGAGCGCCCATAGCCGCCAGCAGACCTGCCTGGACCTGACGCCGCTCGGCTTCTGCTACGTGATCGACTTTAAGAGCATGACACAGGTTTGTGTGAATAAACATCCACACCCCCAGGCTCCGGTTCGGGCTCCTCCTTTTCCTTTTTCTAATCAAGTTTACAAACTTTTCCAGATTTTTAAATAAAATACAAAAAGTTTTGAGTAAAAGTCCCGTTTCGATCTCCGTGTTTCAGACTCCACTGGTGCTGGAAAACCAGGAAACGTCCGATGATTCGGAGTTGGTAGGAACATCAGATGAACAGAAAGTTTCTGATCCTCGTTGGTTTTGTTTGGTTGGTTCTGCAGGTGAACCGGCAGAGCCAGAGATGTCGTAGGATCCAGCGCCGCGCTGACCTGGCGTACCCGTTAGTGTCCGGTCCACTCCCGCTGCCCAAAGGAGGAGGCGGGGGGCTAACGGGAGCCCTGCTGGGCGTTGGGGTGTCGGGGGCCAGCATGGGAGTCGGTGCTTCTGTCACCTCTAATGAAAGCGTACCGATTCCGGGCCCAGGCCAGCCTTGTTCCTGCCAGCAGTGCATGCTGGTCCTGAGTGTGAAGAGCAACACGGGAGGAGGAGCAGCCATCCAGACTCTGGGGAGACGATCGTTAACCATGCAGCGACCCAAGACCTCAGCGCTCCCACCCCCCAAACCTCTGAGTCCTTCTAAGTCGTGCACCTTGGGACGAGGACAGCCACAGACCTCCAGCTACTATCAGACGCTGCCTCATGGCCTCGCCATCACCAGAAACGTCTCCTCCCCCAGGAGGAACGACCTGCTCTTCGCCCAGTCCCTAGCGGCCCTCACCGCTGGCGCCTCCTCCATGGGCATCTCAGCATCTTCCACCAGACCGCCACCCCCATCCCTCCCTCCCCCACAGCCTCCTTCCTCCAACCCTCCCTCCATTCCTCCCAAACTCTCCTCCTCCACCTCCCCCTCGGCCAATGAGTCAGTGCCAACAGCCACGTTAATCACCCCCGCCAGCAACGTGACCACGCCTCCCTCCCCTGTGCCATCCCCGTCGTCAATGGTCATGAAGCCGCAGCGAGCGCCGCCATCCACATCATCAGTGTGCCACGCCCCCTTACCACAGCGATCGAGCCTAGCTGGGTTGAGCAGGCCGGCGCTGCAGCGGATCGCCATGGCGCAGTCCAGAGCGCTCATTGCATCAGGGTGAGTAACGAGAGAACCACAGAGCCGCTCCACCGTCCGAACATTTCAAACGCCAGCGCAGAAAGTTCTGGTTGGGTTATGGGAAACCACCGTGACGCTCCACCGACCAATCACCTGCTTTTATTTTAGAGACTCTGACCCGCTTATTTTCCTGGAAGTTTTTTTAAATGAAAAAGGTTAAAAGAGATCTGGTGTTGCCGACGGCTTCTAACTGGGGAGGTGGGACCAGTAGCCTTCTCTGTAGGCTGATCTGTTAGCTAGCTGCTAACTCACATCCTCCTCTTTGCAGCGGTTTATTACATGTGTGGAATGCAGTTTGCTTTAATACACACACACACACACACACACACGCGGTGTGCGTGCGTGCACGTGAGAGAACACGCTGCACAGGAAGTGATGCGTTTCAGCTGCAGATAACTTTCTTCTTAAAATTTGGTCAGATTGTTTTTGGATTCTTTTGAGGCTGGTCCACCCCCCCCCCCCCCCCTCCCCTCCCCCCCACACGCACACACACACTCACATCACCACACACACACACTCACATCACCACACACACACCACTCCTCTCAGTGGCCAGGGCCCCTCGCAGCCCCATTGCTGGTCTCCACGGTAACCTTTGTTGGACGGCCAAGCTTGAACCCCATTAGCAGCACAATGCTGAGCCCCCCCCCCCAGCTCTAATTTATATTCTCCCTCTACCCTCTCCCTCTCCATTCTATCATCATACAAATATGTGTTCAATCATTTTCATGAGCTGTTTTTGTTTCTGTTCAGCTTTTTGCGAGCAGCCTCCAGAGTCTGGAGCTTTTTTAGGTAAACGAGTTTCTCCTGACGGAGACGCCCACCAAGGCCTCTAAGTAGTGAAGAGTTTGGCCTAATCCCATTTCTGGAATTATGTTTAGAGATGTTCCAACACAGTTTTGCTCCCGATCGGAGTCCCACTCATCTGATCAGAATTAAAAACAACACATCCAAGTTGAGTTTTTATTAATAATAATGAAGTTATTTATTTATTTATTTATATGTAATTTCCTTAGTTTATCTGCCGAAGAGCATAACTCATTCAGGGAGTATGTTAATAAAAAACATGTTAATATTATGGATATATTTATTAATAGCTTCATTGCTCATATTTCACACTGTTTACCTCCTGAAAATGCGGCTGTACTGAGTGATGCACGTTCTCGCTACGGGGCACAGTCGGCAGGCTCACTTTTCTCTTCTCAACACCTGCAACTCCTGCGGCGCCAGGTGCTGCAGGCTTTAAAACCTGAAATCTTTAAAAGATGGAGGAGCTTCGTGATCTACCAGGTCTCAAATCCTAAAATAGAAAGAAAAACAATCTTTTTTATAGCGCCTCTCAAGATAAAATCACGAGGCGTTTCACAAAAACAACACAAAGATTGCAAAATTGATTAAAACGTGTTTAAAATGAGAAACAAAAATGTGATTAAAAATGTTAAGAAACAGAGAGAGTGAACAGGGAAGAGGGAAATCAGTGGATCCTGAGGAAGGTGGGATAGGTGGGGAGAGCAGAATAAAGAGAGAGAGGTGAAGAAGGTCATACAAAAGCCAGCTTGAACAAGTGAGTCTTCAGCTGCTTTTTAAAGGAGACCACTGAGTCCACTGATCTCAGGCTCAGGGGGAGAGAGCTCCAGAGTCTGGGGGCCACAGCAGCAGATGATCTGTCACCTTTGACCTTTAGCCTGGTGCTGCACAACCAGTAGGCTTTGATCACTGGACCTCAGGGACCTGCTGGGGGTGTAGGGACTAAGAAGATCACCAATGTAAGATGGTGCTTGTCCATGTAAGGCCCTATAGACCAGAACCAGGATCTTGAAATGAACCCTGAAGTTGACTGGCAGAGAGTCTCTGACTTTGGGAACCAGCTTGTCTGGGGCACAGATGAGGGTCTCAGTCTGATCTTCATCCAGCTGAAGAAAGCTCCCACCATCCAGGTTTTGATAGAGTCCAAGCAGGTGTGGAGCAGCTGCAGCTTAGACATCTCATGGGGCTTAAAGGAGATGTGGGAGCAGTTAGCAACGTTTCTTTTGGACAGGTCAGTGCTAAGTAATCCATTAAAATAAAATAAATAATATTGCAGAAGACTATTGTATGCTGCTTTTACCTTGGGCTAATAGGGCGCTAGCTTGAATGCTAACTCAACCTGCATTGAATCGACGTCGGCCTGTGTGGCAGAGGAGGTAGGAGAACATGAAGGGAGTTGTCTTTTGTGTGTTGGAGCTGAGTGATTAGTGTCCGGTTCAACCTCATGCCACATCTCTGCTGACTGCCTCCCCTGTGCGTGCACGGTATGACTCTTACCGTATGAGGCATGGAAGGGGAGCAGGGGCGGAGCTATAGCCGCTCAAATTTCAAATTCTCATCTCCTGGATAATGTCACGCTGCAGACCACATGCATTTATTTTGTTGTTAAAGTAAAAGAAAGAGGTTTCTACCTTGTCCCTGCAGCCGCATCTCCAACTTCAGGGGAAAACTTTGGCTCGGGTGACTTCACTTTTGAGTGAACATACCCAGGAGGTCACACGCAGACCTGCTGAAGAACGCGTTCTTTCCGTTTGGAGCTTTGGTTAGAAAAGAAGTCGTCTTGAACACAGAACGGTTTGCAAATGAGCCTCGAGCCTCGTTTACGCTAGGATGGAGCGGATGTGGTTAGGTGTCGGTACGGATTCATACAGACAATGATTACAACTTAAGCATAATATTAGACATGCATGTCAAAAATATATATTTAAATATTTTAAAATGATTAAGTAACTCCCATTATGAACGGATGAATAATAAAACAAAACCAATGCAACATAGGTTTTATTTTGAAATATTCCAGATATACCTCACTGTTCCACGTCCACTTCCTGTCTGGCTCATGTCATTTCTTTAATTTCATGATGATCCACGTGCAGCGTACAGGGAAAATAGACTCCACGCAGAAGCGTCACATCTACACTACAGCCGGTGAGAATGCTCTGATTGGACTCAATAGTCTTTAGTCGTTGCAGAAACCGTACGGAAACCAGTCTTTGGCTGGGCTGAGACGGCCGGCAGCTAGGGCTGGGCGATTAGGCGAGTATTTATCATTATTGAAGTTTCTGGCTCTTACTGATGCGTCAATAAATTCAATAATAAAAAAATGAAAATATGCGTGTAGGTTGGCGACAGCCATGTCCCTTTAAGATGCTGTTCCACCTCGGGTCGCGTTTTCACGTGACTCATCGTAATACACGTGAATTAGTGGACAACTGTAGTTTCTGCGCATACCTCTAGGTATCATCCATTTATCGTCATCGAGGTGAAATGCTCAATATATTATGTTGGTTTTAGGCCATATCGCCTAGCTTTATATTTGGGTGGGGTCATGTGGGGAAGATGATGCCAGCGCGTCATAACTACAGCGCTAGTGACCCGGGGCTGTTTTATTTCTGACCTGACTGAACACAAACATCCCACCTCCTGCAGAGACTCTCGGAGAAACGTGTTTAGACATGTTCAAATTCCCAGTGATGCCCTGCAGCTCGGGCGAGGAGGCTGAGGCCCCCCACAAACGTTTGGAGACATTCTGCCATTTGCATCTCGCCCCCAGCCCAGTGGGAAACTGGCTGTAGTGGGTTTTACCGGCTAACCTTGCAGAAAAGGACACTTTTATTTAAAAGCTGGAAATAATCACACCAGTGTCTTAAGTCTTACGGTGCAGTGCTGCAGAATCCTTTTAGGTTGTTCAGTTTTCATTTTGGGATGTTTGGAACCAGAGAGAAGTTCTCTGAGACATTTCCAGACAAGACCAATAAGAGTTGGAATGGGGCCGGGCCACGATGTGAATAATTTAGGTGAAAGTAGACAAAAGGACTGTTGCGCCCCCCCCCCCCCCCCCCCCACACACACACACACACACACCCGCCCCCAATGGGGGAGGCCATCTATGTAGCATTATAGACGGCCTCCGACTCAGACGACGTCCGAGACAAGAGATCGGGGGCGGGCAGCACAAAGGAACGAGTCAGCAAACTGTCAAAGATTGATCACAATAGTGGTGCAAGGAATCAGACCAAATGCAGGGGACACACACACACACACACACACACACACACACACACACACACACACACACACACACACACACACACACACAATGAGTAAAAACTTGAAAGCCACAAAAATATTTATTTCAACAAACAAAACTTATTTTTTACCAACTCAACAGAACATTAAGCTTATAATAATAACAATGATAATTTAATAATAATGAAAAAGAATTGGGCCGGTGGCTCATTTAAACATCAACGACCTGCTGAAGCAGAAAGTTCTGAACTGAGAGGAAACGCCTAATAATCCCTTCAGAGTCACAGAGCAGCAGATTTAGTCCAAGCGTGTTGGCAGCACCCCCTACAGGCCTGGAATGTAACCTACTGCTGGACTAACAGGTGTTTCTGTACCAAATAAAGCCAGAGTGCTAGGATCCCGAGAGTAAAGGTTTTGGCTTATGCAGCGACCGCTTCATATCAGGTACTTAAACCAACGTTTCCTCAACTGTGTGTGGTGTTTATTTTAAATGCTTTTATTATGATTCTTAGTGGGCTTCCTACACTTATTTTGGCGGGGCTTTTTCTGTCTTATTACTCATAGCAACAAGTAAACATCACGTAAAACGTTGCCTCGTGAGTTCTGCGTGCTGCCGTTTACGTGTTTTATGATCACAGCAATTAACCGGCTAAGCTGTATTTAACTTTTAAGCAATGGTTGATCAATTGTCAGATCACACATAAAAAGCACTTTGGATTGCTATTATCCGTCTCACCGAGACAGATCTCAGACAGATCCTGAGACGCTCCTGCCTGACATTTTTATTTTATTCACGGAAAACAATCAGACTAGTGATTCCTCTTGGCGTTCAGTTTATACATTCAAACAGCACAGCACTCTATTTAAACTACTTACGTGTAAATCTGTTATTTGTCCATCCATCCATCCATTTTCATCCGCTTATCCGGAGTCGGGTTGCGGGGGCAGTAGCGTCGAGAGGCCCAGACTTCCCTCTCCCCAGCCACTTGGGCCAGCTCCTCCGGGGGAATCCCAAGGCGTTCCCTGGCCAGGTCCGGTAAGAAGTCCGCTCCGACAGCTTCTGGCGTTTTTAAAAAGTATGCCAGGGGCACGGTGAGGGTCGGAGATGTTTAGTCTATTTAATTTCTGACTATATAAAACGATTTCTTCGGTTTTAAAGTGTGAAGTAAACTCCGACGAAGTAAAATCCAAGCCGATCCCGTTCATGTTCATGTTTACGATCTGTGTTTGTTTACCTTTTTTTCCTGCCAATATGGCGTCTACTAACTGAGAGTCACGTGGGGTCCGGAGCTCTATAGTCCCTCACTGCAGAGAGAGGGAGCACATTCTTCACCTCGCATCCTGTTAGGATGGCCAATATTTACTTCTGCTGTGTGTGTGTGTGTGTGTGTGTGTGTGTGTGTGTGTGTGTGTGTGTGTGTGTGTGTGTGTGTGTGTGTGTGTGTGTTGAGGTGGATGATTGTTATCTGTGTGTCTCCGTATTTAATGCCGTATTTGAGCTAAATGGTTTGTGTCTTTTCTCACAGCGTTCCGACGGTCCCGGTGAAAAACCTGAATGGATCCAGTCCAGTCCACCCCGCGTTGGCTGGTAAGACAGAAGCTCCCCGCCCTGGAGCCGCCAGCATCCTCAGACTTCCCTCCAACTGTTTGTTTTCCCTTTAGGAATCACGGGAATCCTCATGAGCGCAGCCGCTCTGCCTGTGTGTCTGACCCGGCCTCCAAAGCTGGTGCTGCACCCTCCGCCCGTCAGCAAGAGCGACATCAAACCGGTTCCCGGCCTCAGCCACTGCTGCAGGAAAACCACCAAGAAACAGGCTCGGAAAGGTGAGCGGTGACCGGAAGGGTTCGGAACAAACATCTTCCAGGAGAACTGTTCTCGACTGTTGCAAACCTGTTTCAGGAAGGTTGTCACCTTTAAACCGTCATGTTTCACGTTCTTTTCAGACCCAGGGCCTCGTTTATAAAACTCGCCTTCACACAGAACTAAACCTGGAAACTGTTCAAGTCATTTTCTACACTAACTCTGTGAAAACTTGACTGTAAAATCTGACAACTTTAAGTATTTATTTTATGTCCTCCATGATCTCTGCAACCTCACAGGTAGGGCTGCACGATATTAGGAAAACCTGTGATATTCGATAACAGTGCTTAAAGGCCCCGTGTGTGAAATTCACAGAAATCATAGTAAAAAGATCCGACTCTTTAGCACCACGCAGTTTAGAGTCGGTATTGCAGCTATTGGAGCCCCCGAGGATCAAAAAGGGTTTTTTTAATCATTATTTAAAACTTTATTAACAAATATAACAAATACAATACAAAATCGTGTTGCTGTAAACGGCAGCATGTCATCATCTAATTCCAGCTTTCAAGTCAGCGAACAGGTTAGTTGTTTTCATCTAACTTATTTTATTAATTTAATCTAAATAGGTTTTGAATAAGAAAAACTTTTTTATGTCAGTTATGTTTGCTAATAGCAAACGGCAGCTAGTTAGTGATGACTTCTGACTACAAAAAATGACAATATTTTGTTCATTTTATTTGAGAAATGTTATATTTCTATTTGCCATTTTGGAAATATACAAGGTAGTGTAGTCTGTAATTGTTTTCTCTCCGTAAACAGAGTCAGATATCATCCGATGGTTCATCAGTGAAGACAGACAGAGGACGAGGGAGAGGAAGAGGGAGAGGAAGAGGGAGAGGACAGACGTGTGCCAGCGCACAGAGAGGCAGAGGTGTTAGACATGCGACAGAAGCAGGGCAAGCATCCCAAGATGAAGGAGCCGAATTTGCTCAAACCAGCCGCAACGTTCCACGCACAAGAGGAAGAGGCAGAGCTGCAATAAAGTCTAGAAGATCGGCGCTTTCAAGCGCTTTCAAACTATCCCGTTTCTCAAGTTTGCTTGTAGAATATGTGTGATCCTCCATCGCTAGAAGTACGGTGTGGCTAGTTTCTTCTTCTTCTTAGTTACTTTGTCAGACTGCATGCTTACAAGGCGCACTTCTGCCCCCTGCTGTTTCTTTGAGGTTACATCATTTAAAAACGCAAACATCAAATGCGAAGCTTAATATGTTGTATGTCCCTAAAAGGTCACTGTATTTTAAGATGGCGCATGCCATATGGAGCACCGGTCTGCTTCTTTTGTCTAAAATATTAAAATATAAAGCTAATAATAATGCTTAGAATAAATGCTTGTTTGAATTATCATTAAAAAAAAACAAATTTGAGAATGTGATACAAGAAATTTGATAACTTATAAGATGAAATATCACACATTGGGCCTTTAATATTGCGATATCGATATTACTCACGATAAATGAACAAATACTAAAGTATGCAGTGTTGATGTCGTCTGGCGTGTGACGTCTGCTCTGGGCTCAAAGCAAACAAAAACTAATGCATGAATTCCATTACAACATATAAATATGCAGCTGCACCTGCTACTGTATTAGCAGCTGCTCCCGCTACTGTATTAGCAGCTGCTCCCGCTACTGTATTAGCAGCTGTACCTGCTACTGTATTAGCGGCTGCACCCGCCACTGTATTAGCGGCTACACCTGCTACTGCATTAGCAGCTGGACGTGCTACTGTATTAGCAGCTGAACCTGCTACTGCATTAGCAGCTGCACCCGCTACTGTATTAGCAGCTGGACGTGCTACTGTATTACCAGCTGCACCTGCTACTGCATTAGCAGCTGCACCTGCTACTGTATTAGCAGCTGGACGTGCTACTGTATTACCAGCTGCACCTGCTACTGTATTAGCAGCTGCACCTGCTACTGTATTAGCAGCTGCACCTGCTACTGCATTAGCAGCTGCACCTGCTACTGCATTAGCAGCTGCACCTGCTACTGTATTAGCAGCTGCACCTGCTACTGTATTAGCAGCTGCACCTGCTACTGCATTAGCAGCTGCACCCGCTACTGTATTAGCAGCTGCACCCGCTACTGTATTAGCGGCTGCACCCGCTACTGTATTAGCGGCTACACCTGCTACTGTATTAGCAGCTGGACGTGCTACTGTATTACCAGCTGCACCCGCTACTGTATTAGCAGCTGTACCTGCTACTGTATTAGCGGCTGCACCCGCTACTGTATTAGCGGCTACACCTGCTACTGTATTAGCAGCTGCACCCGCTACTGTATTAGCAGCTGTACCCGCTACTGTATTAGCAGCTGCACCCGCTACTGTATTAGCAGCTGGACGTGCTACTGTATTAGCAGCTGCACCTGCTACTGCATTAGCAGCTGCACCCGCTACTGTATTAGCAGCTGGACGTGCTACTGTATTAGCAGCTGCACCCGCTACTGTATTAGCAGCTGCACCCGCTACTGTATTAGCAGCTGGACGTGCTACTGTATTAGCAGCTGGACGTGCTACTGTATTAGCAGCTGTACCTGCTACTGTATTAGCGGCTGCACCCGCTACTGTATTAGCAGCTGCACCCGCTACTGTATTAACAGCTGGACGTGCTACTGTATTAGCAGCTGTACCTGCTACTGTATTAGCGGCTGCACCCGCTACTGTATTAGCGGCTACACCTGCTACTGTATTAGCGGCTGCACCTGCTACTGTATTAGCAGCTGCACCCGCTACTGTATTAGCAGCTGGACGTGCTACTGTATTAGCAGCTGTACCTGCTACTGTATTAGCGGCTGCACCCGCTACTGTATTAGCGGCTACACCTGCTACTGTATTAGCGGCTGCACCTGCTACTGTATTAGCGGCTGCACCCGCTACTGTATTAGCGGCTACACCTGCTACTGTATTAGCAGCTGCACCTGCTACTGTATTAGCAGCTGCACCTGCTACTGTATTAGCAGCTGTACCTGCTACTGTATTAGCAGCTGGACCCGCTACTGTATTAGCAGCTGGACCCGCTACTGTATTAGCAGCTGCACCTGCTACTGTATTAGCAGCTGCACCCGCTGCTGTATTAGCAGCTGCACCCGCTACTGTATTAGCAGCTGCACCCGCTACTGTATTAGCAGCTGCCCCCGCTACTGTATTAGCAGCTGCACCTGCTACTGTATTAGCAGCTGCACCTGCTACTGTATTAGCAGCTGCACCCGCTACTGTATTAGCACCTGCACCTGCTACTGTATTAGCAGCTGCACCCGCTACTGTATTAGCAGCTGCACCCGCTACTGTATTAGCAGCTGTACCTGCTACTGTATTAGCAGCTGCACCCGCTACTGTATTAGCAGCTGCACCCGCTACTGTATTAGCAGCTGCACCTGCTACTGTATTAGCAGCTGCTCCCGCTACTGTATTAGCAGCTGCTCCCGCTACTGTATTAGCAGCTGCTCCCGCAACTGTGTTAGCAGCTGTACCTGCTACTGTATTAGCACCTGCACCTGCTACTGTATTAGCAGCTGCACCTGCTACTGTTTTAGCAGCTGGACCCGCTACTGTATTAGCAGCTGTACCTGCTACTGTATTAGCAGCTGGACGTGCTACTGTATTAGCAGCTGGACGTGCTACTGTATTAGCAGCTGCACCTGCTACTGTATTAGCAGCTGCACCTGCTACTGTATTAGCAGCTGGACCCGCTACTGTATTAGCAGCTGGACGTGCTACTGTATTAGCAGCTGCACCTGCTACTGTATTAGCAGCTGCACCTGCTACTGTATTAGCAGCTGTACCTGCTACTGTATTAGCAGCTGCACCTGCTACTGTATTAGCAGCTGGACCCGCTACTGTATTAGCAGCTGGACGTGCTACTGTATTAGCAGCTGGACGTGCTACTGTATTAGCAGCTGCACCTGCTACTGTATTAGCAGCTGCACCTGCTACTGTATTAGCAGCTGCACCCGCTACTGTATTAGCAGCTGCACCCGCTACTGTATTAGCAGCTGGACGTGCTACTGTATTAGCAGCTGCACCTGCTACTGTATTAGCAGTTGGACGTGCTACTGTATTAGCAGCTGCACCCGCTACTGTATTAGCAGCCGCACCCGCTACCGTATTAGCAGCCGCGCCCGCTACTGTATTAGCAGCTGCACCCGCTACTGTATTAGCAGCTGCACCCGCTACTGTATTAGCAGCTGTACCTGCTACTGTATTAGCGGCTGCACCCGCTACTGTATTAGCGGCTACACCCGCTACTGTATTAGCGGCTGCACCCGCTACTGTATTAGCAGTTGGACGTGCTACTGTATTAGCAGCTGCACCTGCTACTGTATTAGCAGCTGCACCTGCTACTGTATTAGCAGTTGGACGTGCTACTGTATTAGCAGCTGCACCCGCTACTGTATTAGCAGCCGCACCCGCTACCGTATTAGCAGCAGCGCCCGCTACCGTATTAGCAGCTGCACCTGCTACTGTATTAGCAGCTGGACGTGCTACTGTATTAGTAGCTGCACCCGCTACTGTATTAGCAGCCGCGCCCGCTACTGTATTAGCAGCTGCACCCGCTACTGTATTAGCAGTTGCACCTGCTACTGTATTAGCAGCTGTACCCGCTACTGTATTAGCAGCAGCGCCCGCTACTGTATTAGCAGTTGCACCCGCTACTGTATTAGCAGCTGCACCCGCTACTGTATTAGCAGCAGCGCCCGCTACTGTATTAGCAGCTGCACCCGCTACTGTATTAGCAGCTGCACCCGCTACTGTATTAGCAGCCGCGCCCGCTACTGTATTAGCAGCCGCACCCTCTACTGTATTAGCAGTTGCACCTGCTACTGTATTAGCAGCTGTACCTGCTACTGTATTAGCAGCTGTACCTGCTACTGTATTAGCAGCTGCACCTGCTACTGTATTAGCAGCTGGACCTGCTACTGTATTAGCGGCTACACCTGCTACTGTATTAGCAGCAGCGCCCGCTACTGTATTAGCAGCTGCACCCGCTACTGTATTAGCAGCTGCACCCGCTACTGTATTAGCAGCCGCGCCCGCTACTGTATTAGCAGCCGCACCCTCTACTGTATTAGCAGCTGCACCTGCTACTGTATTAGCAGCTGCACCCGCTACTGTATTAGCAGCTGGACCTGCTACTGTATTAGCAGCAAAACAACAAACTGCATGCATGCAGTTTCTCAGTGACTTTAAAACATCACCTCCACCATAAAACTTTTTCTGATGCTCCAAATACAGAAAAACATCCCTTACCAGGGTTTTTAGAATAAATAGTTTAAATGTTAAATAATAGTTAACATCATAGTTAACATGTTCTCCACTTATGTGGTTCTGATATAAGGCTGTTGCTGTAACTGGGAAGTGAACTGTGCTGGGCCAAACTAGGAGAATATTAAGATTTTCTGAGGGAAAGAGAAAAACAATTGTCTACCTTTCAGAAGAGGAACTGGCAAAAAAAACTACACGGAAAATATGTGAAAACGTTTGTTTTTAACCCCAAATTGAACAAGTTTACCTAGATCTTAAAAAGCAGCTCAGATGATCAAACTGCAACTATGATTCTGATAACAAGCTAACAAATTGAACTAGCTCCTCTAAGCTAACCGGCTAGCAGAGCTTCTGACTGACAGTTTATGTTTAGCAGCAAATCAACTATCCTGATTAACAAGGTTATAAAAGCTCATAAAGGAAAAATCACTTTGATGCGTGGGGGAACTTTTCCAGGCCCTCTTTAGCAGGGTGGGACTGGGAGGAGAGTGCTGTAGCCTTTTAGCTGGAAGATAACCGGAGCCTGGGGCTAACGTCACCACCCGGTGGAACACTAGCGACATGGAGGTGGGTTGGTTCACCGGCACGTGTCGGAGTCAGCCCGGTAAAAATGGTTAACGACACCGAGCGGACTCACGTTCACGTTTGAAAGCAGCGCTGATTCCAGAAACCTCAGCACAAAGTGCGTTCGTTGCTCTGAGCCAGCATGACGAACAAGGGAACGGCGCCGTTCGGGTGTTGCGTTCCATCCTAAGGGTCTACGTAGGGGGCGGGCGTTTTATGTGAACGGACACATCTGATTGGCCGCATATCAGAAGGGTTACATTTGATTGGTCAGATAAGCGTACAAAACAGAGCTGGTTTACAAAAAGCTGATGTATGACACGGATGGAAATGTTGAACCAATCATTTATCGCCGTTTTTGAAGTGCGTTGCGATGGGCCTATCGCACGTCCTGTTATCACGATGACGATAATTTTTCGATATATTGTGCAGCCCTACTCACAGGTTACTGCTTCGGTCTCAGTTGCCATGGTTACCACCTGTTAGCACGCTTATCCAAATGCAGAGTCCATTTATGGCAGACAGTGGGTGTGTAGGAGGGGAACCAGAAACACCTGAGCACATTTCTAGGACAGGTGTGATTTACAAAGCAGAAACTGCGTGTGCCACATTCTGTAGGTCAGACGACGTTCTGCTTAAGTTCATTTATTTATTTTGCTGAGCTTAAATAGGGTTCTAGTTAGGGTTCCACGCAAAGTTTTATAAATGAGGCCTCAGGTGGATCAGATCTGGGATCCTTACATGGTTCGGTGATGCGTTCACACTCGTCAGCTTTCCATTTGTGTTTGTAGGTAAAACGCCAGAGGAGGTGGTGAAGAAGTACCTGCAGAAGGTGAAGAGTCCACCTGAGGAGGTACGGAGATACATTATGACACTTAAAACAGCTTAAGTGAGTTCCAACTCTAATCAGCTGATTTGTGGTTTCTAACCCCACCAGGACTGCACCATTTGCATGGAGCCTTTAGGAGGACCTTCAGGATACAAAGGTCCTGGTGTGGGTCCGGTGTCCAAGGCGGAGTCGGTGGGCCGGTTAGCCCAGTGTGGACACCAGTACCATTTTCAGTGCCTGGTGGCGATGTACAACAACGGCAACAAGGACGGCAGGTAGGGCGAAGACAACAAGTCGCTATTTTTTTACTCACAGGTCCATCGGAAGGTCTGAATCTATGATTCTGGTTCTAGTCTTCAGTGTCCCACGTGTAAGACCATCTACGGCGTGAAGACCGGCAACCAGCCAGCGGGCAAGATGGAGTACCACATCATCCCTCACTCTCTACCGGGTCACCCTGACTGCAAAACTGTCCGGATCATTTACAACATACCGCCAGGGATTCAGGTAGGCCCGGCCCGGCTCGGCTCGGCCCGGCTTTAGTCATGCTCTGGACCACACGTCTGACACATGTCCTGTTCCTTCAGGGACCAGAACATCCCAACCCAGGGAAGCCCTTCACTGCCAGAGGCTTCCCCAGACACTGCTACCTCCCAGACAGCGAGAAAGGGCGCAAGGTAAACGCGGCGTCCTGCAGACGGATGTTCGGGTCCAGTCGGGTCTCGGTAGATGATGATGTTTTCTGACTGACAGGTTCTGAGATTGCTCCTGGTGGCGTGGGACCGCAGGTTGATCTTCTCTGTTGGGACCTCGAGCACCACAGGAGAGTCTGACACGGTCATCTGGAATGAGGTAAGCTCGCCCGCTGCTTAATGTTGGCTCACGCCACAAACGTCACTGAGCGTTTAACCACAAACACCTTCTCCACTCCAAGGTTCATCACAAGACGGAGTTCGGCTCCAACCTGACGGGCCACGGCTTCCCCGACCCCGGACACCTGGACAATGTCCTGGAGGAGCTCCGCTCTCAGGGCATCACAGAGGAGGACGCACTAGTGGAAAAGTGAAAGATCTAAAGGATGAAGCGTGGGAACAGCCCTGATAAAAGAGGAGGAGTAGGTCCTGGACTGAGAACAACTCTGCCAGCACTTAGAGAGGGGTGGGGGGTGTTAGCAGAGCTAACCACTCAGAGACTGGCTTTGCCTTTCGGTGAGGAGGAGGAGGAGGAGGAGGGTTTTAGCTACTAAACATGAGTGAGAGAACGAGTCGGTGCAAACATCCAGGGTGAAAACAAGTTAACATTACTGAAAGAAGAGAAGAGTTAAAAGATGGCAGAAAGCAGCTGAAACTGGGAGGAGTGGAAGGAGGAGGGGGAGGAGGAGGGGGAAGAGCAAAGATGGCGTACGGAGGTAGTTTAGGATAGCAGTAGAGTAACATGAACTTGTGGTACTTTTCAGGTACTTGACAGACCGGCTTTGTTTAAATCACCGTGTGGTAACTGAGCGCCCTCTTGTGGTGTTCTGAAGCGCTGCGGTTCAGCTGCTGGAACCAATCAGAACGTCACAAAGAGTTTTTGTTTTACTATAATCCTCATGTAACACTCGTGTACCTCTCTGATTTAAATGTTTTAAGTGTTTATTATTTGATGAGACCGAACCGGGTCTGAGTTGAGTCTCATTACTGAGCCACTGTGGGGCCAGGACCGCTTTACCTGAGCTGCACAGGTGTCCGTTCCTTAGCAGGGTTCTCTTCAGGTTGCACAAAGATTTCATTTAGTTAAGTTAGTTTTATTATTATTTTTTTTCCTAAAGCCATCGTTGGGTTAGGGTTAGTCCCAAAGAGATAACCTGCATAAGGAGGCATTTCCACGAGATTTCACTCATCAGTGAGTTCAGCTGATGCTTTAAAGTTTCAAATCACAACTTTAAAGTTTGTCGTCTGATGGAAAGATTCAGAAAAATACATGACAAGTTTCGCTTAGTTTAGCTTTACGGCTAGCAGAAATCAGAGCTAACCAACGCCAGTCAGACAAATCTGCATTTTGAGCTTTCTTTTGTTTCTCATGAATAAATGTAGAAGTTTCCAGTTGTCATTGAATGCACCATTCACCACTGAGCCTCCTTATTCTGAATTAGTTTTTCTGTCTTTAATGAAGTAAAACATTAAAATGTTTGGAAGAATTTGCAGTTAATAAAACAAAGAATGCAAACATTATAGCAGCCTCTGCAAAGGACGATGGGTACTGTAGTGCTAACATCTGGCTGCCTTTCTAAGGCAGATCTGATTGGTCATTTCATCGATTGGGCCTGACCAATCAGAACTCGGCTAGATGGAAAGAAAAGAAGCTGTTTGTATTTCTGCTCCTTCTTTCTGCCTTGGCGTGACTCTGTTCTGATTTGGGTCGAGACCGAGACCAGAACCACAACGCCACACCACCAGTGTGTTTTTAAAACCAGTAACGCCCTCCCAGTTCAGGGTTTTATGTTGGTACTTATTGGTGGGACTGGATGGTACTTACTCCATACTTTCATCTTTATTATGTGTTTATGACCTGTAGCTACTTATTTAGCGTTTTTTTTTGGACACCATTATAGCGTGAATTGCCTTTTTCCCGTTTTGTACGATTACGATTCCCGTTTTAACTCGTTACAGTTTGTTTACAAAGACAGTATTACGGAATACAACGTCTTTTCTTTTATTGTACAGAAATGAAGCTGATTTACATCTTTTCTTTGGAAAAGGATTTTCATGGTAGACTTTTATCTAAGTGTGACCTGTAATGCATATTTTAACTGAAAGTCAAAACCCTTGTTATCTTTACTGATCTGTGAGTTTAAGGACAGTTTTGTGTTCTACATATCACCAGTCCTGATGCTGCTCTGCCCTGAAACTTTACAATAATTGTAACGCTGGAAGGTTTCTCGGCAGATACGTACAGAGAAATGTTGTTTTTATTAGCATTAAAACTGTGTTTAAAACATAGTATTATATTTTCTCGTGTCATTGCAGTTGTCTTGCTCTGCGGCTAAGATGCTGCTCAGTAATCTAAAAAACTGATTTTGGTTGATCTGTTTAGTCAGATGTACCAGAAGTCTTAAGATCACGTGGTATTTTTAAGACTCCAACTATTTTTTGTCATGCTGCATATGTTTGTCTCGCCAGGGTTTAAAAAGACCTTTTGGGGTCATGTGATTTTATTTTTTCATCAGTTTCCCAACTGAAGGCACTGTCCTCTCCAGATACCTGTGGATTATCGCGACTCTAGGTGATCCTTACGGATGCTGGTTTAGAAGCATGAAAAGTGTAAATATGGCAAAAATAACTGCTGGAGTATAAATGAGTAATACAAGACAAAATAAAGGATGAATGATATTGGACGTACTGTGTTTGTCAGATTTATTGGGACCCTACAAATGTTTATGGAAAATAAATGGTTTAAAACTGGTGTTGTATTGAGATATGTTCCCTTGATAAACTCAGTCACACCCATCAACTTCGACCACGGGTCCCCAACTGCCAAAAACAATGTATGGGAGCCTATGTGAATATTTTCCGATCCTGTTTGATGTGTGCCTTGGATTTCACATACAATGTCCATGAATTTTTATTTTAATTATAAAGATGCCAGATAAATGCTTTTTTTTTCTTTTCTTTGACAGGTGGTAAAAGTAATTTTAGGTTTTGAGTGATAACACGTAGCTGACTACAACTGCTCGTCTCACCAAATTGATGTCACCGAACCAGACAGAAGAAAGGTGGATGTGCGATTAGCGAGTTTCGAATTCTTTCAGGGTGAAAGGAGCATTAAACGTGGTGAAAGCCACTATAAATCGGGCCATTTGGTAAGTAGCTGCTACACCTGGTGGAGAAGGGATTGTGGTGACATCATATATGCGACTTCAATTCAATTCAAAATTCAATTCAAAAATACTTTATTAATCCCAGAGGGAAACTGATTGCTGTAGTAGCTCAGAATAATAATAATAATCAAGTCATCAAAGAGTTGTTGTATATTACAATGGCTGTTGGCAGGAAGGATCTCCAGTAGTGGTCAGTGTAGCAGCGAAACTGAAGATGCCTCTGACTGAAGACACTCTTCCGTTGTCGGACAGTCTTGTGAAGAGAATGCTCAGGGTTGTCCATAATTTTCTTGATTCTCTGGAGAATCCTTCGTTGCATTATCTCCTCCAGCGGTTCCGAAACTCTGGCTGAGTCCTTGAAAGGGCTTGGAGTTCCTCCATCTTGTTGGCCAGTGATCTCACAATGCCCATTATGATCGATGGAAGAGATGGTTTGAATTTCCTCTTTCTCTGTCTCCGTCTTGCTCCCGCTCTGCATCCACGCTTCTTGCGTTTTAGCTCATTTGGGATTTGTGGCTTCAGTTGAGGTATTATTTCAGCCTTTCCAATGTTAATCAGCTGCTCCTGATTGTAAACCAGCTTGTTGCCATGGTAACACATCATAACAAATGCTCAAAAGTGAGAAAAGCTAAAAAATAGCAGTAAAAATCCTCCAAGCTTCACAGCACCAGAAACAGACAAGTAAAATGCCCAAAAAATACTGTTTTTCTTAAGAAACTAGAAGAAAAAATGTCCAAAAAAAGGCTAAACTTACATATAGTCAACAGAGCTACTCCAACATGCAGCCACCCAGAGCAGCGCAGTTCCGGGAAAAAAAAATTGTGATTTGTAGTACTTTTCATTACAAATTTTAAAAAGATAATTTATTTCAAATAATATAACATATAAAGCTGAAACTAGAGCTAACCCTAACTGAATGGAAGCATGACATATGTGTGATTCAGGGCTCAGAGCAAAGAAAAAAAATAGCTTCAATAGCCCCGTTCACTTACTTATTTTTCTTTGTTCCTGACCCATGAGCCAACTGGAGGCGACTTGGGCTCTGGATTTGTGCATAATGAAATACTGAGTCAGTACAATACCACTGTGATATTGTCATGGCTATAGCCGTTATTGCTACTGTCTAGATTTCTAGGCTACCGTTTTCCTGTCAAGTGTTAACACTCGGAAATCGTTTTGAGACTCAGAATTTTTTGTCCCACTACAATAGTCAAAAAGAAAAGGGAAACACTCTGCGGGTATGAACAACAATTTCTAAACAAAACAGAAAATGCATACAGAAGTTTGTAGATAAACCGTGTTTAATGGGGGAACAAATTTCCGTACACTATTTTTAAGGAAGACATTTCAGTTTGGCTCCAAAAGCCCACTAACTTCACTTTGAAGACATCACCCTTCGATAGCTCAGTTGGTAGAGCGGAGGACTGTAGAGTTGTAAGCCAGAAATCCTTAGGTCGCTGGTTCGAATCCGGCTCGAAGGATGTGAGGTTTTTTTTTCTCTTTACGGTGAGCACATTTTACTGTCACGCCCACACACACCAGAATATTTTGTAGGCCTACGTGTTTTTTTGAATTCCAACCATTGTTTTACAACAATACTGTCGCTAATACGGAGTTCTCTAAAACATGAATGTTTTTAATTTCTGCCTTAGTTGGAAAAAATCGGTCACTTGACCAAAATCATGGTCAAAAGGAACGTTCCCTGACCGGGAATCGAACCCGGGCCGCGGCGGTGAGAGCGCCGAATCCTAACCACTAGACCACCAGGGACTGCTGAGTTATTATCCAGAAATCATTACCTCGTTGGTTCAAATCCGATGGCGGTACAAGATCTGCTCGGGTGCAAAATCGGCTCGGGGTCTTCGACTGCCGATGACGTCAAAGTACGGCAAACCCACTCGGACAAAATACACTACACATCTATGCTGTTGGAAAGAATTAGCAGTTTCGTTAATAAAATAATGTTTCTTAAGACGTAAGTTTGTGTTTATAATGGTATTTGTAAAATAAAACACTATATTGTATTCACAATGTTGAACTCCTCTTTGAAGAAGAAGAAGAAAATATCATTTCTATAGCGCCTCTCAAGATAAAAATCATGAGGCGCTTCACAAAAACAAAAAATATAAAAATTGTAAAAATAGAAAAAAAAAGCATTTTGAAAATGTTTAAAAATATATTTAAAATGAGCAAAAATAAGCAATTGCGATTTAAAAGAAAAAATGTTAAGAAAGAGAGAGAGTGAACAGGAAAGAGGGAAACCAGTGGATCCCGAGGAAGGTGGGATAGGTGGGGAGAGCCGAATAAAGAGAGAGAGGTGAAGAAGGTCATACAAAAGCCAGCTTGAACAAGTGAGTCTTCAGCTGCTTTTTAAAGGAGACCACTGAGTCCACTGATCTCAGGCTCAGGGGGAGAGAGGTCCAGAGTCTGGGGGCCACAGCAGCAGATGATCTGTCACCTTTGACCTTTAGCCTGGTGCTGCACAACCAGTAGGCTTTGATCACTGGACCTCAGGGACCTGCTGGAGGTGTAGAGACTAAGAAGATCACCAATGTAAGATGGTGCTTGTCCATGTAAGGCCCTATAGACCAGAACAGGATCTTGAAATGAACCCTGAAGTTGACTGGCAGCCAGTGAAGCTGGAGGAGAAGCGGGGTTCCAACAGAAAGATTTGCCTGGACCAACGTAACGTGATAACAACATAACGTGATTGCGTAATTCCGTAAGGTTCGTGTTCAGCAAATCAACTACTTTGACGTCATCTGCAGTCGACGGACCCCAAGCCGATCTTGCACCCGAGCAGATCTTGTACCGACACCAGCTCGAAGGATGTGAGTTTTTTTTTTCTCTTTACGGTGAGCACATTTTACTGTCACGCCCACACACACCAGAATATTTTGTAGGCCTACGTGTTTTTTTGAATTCCAACCATTGTTTTACAACAATACTGTCGCTAAAACGGAGTTCTCTAATACATGCATGTTTTTGATTTCTGCCTTAGTTGGAAAAAATCGGTCACTTGACCAAAATCATGGTCAAAAGGCACGTTCCCTGACCGGGAATCGAACCCGGGCCGCGGCGGTGAGAGCGCCGAATCCTAACCACTAGACCACCAGGGACAGCTGACAATCCTATTTACATCTACTGTTTTATCCTAATATTAACGCATTGCTATTATTAGAGGAATAATAATTGTACTTTGGGTGACATGAAAGAAAATCAATGTGGCACAATTTTACATTTAAATTAGACACATTTACATATTTTATATCCTTGGAATTCTAATAAATTAAAAGCCTGCTTTGAATCATGCTGCTTAGATGCTGTTCTCTGCCTGACCCTGATCAGTAACTGGCTGTCCAGCAACTTTCTTGTTCTCAACGCCAACAAGACAGAGACCCTGATCTCTGCACCCACGGAACTTCAACCAAAAATCGAGCAGGAAATTGTCTCTTTTTGCCCATCAGCCAAGGCCAACATTAGAAACCTGGGAGTTATTTTTGATCCAGCTTTAAGTTTAGACTCACACGTCAAAACCATCTCCCGCTCTTGTTTCTTCCAACTGAGAAACATTTCAAAAGTCCGTAAACTGGTTTCTACTGCAGATCTGTAAAAAATCATCCATGCCTTTGTGTCATCACGCTTAGACTACTGTAACGCTCTTTTTACTGGTCTCAGCAAAACCTCCCTCTCACGCCTTCAAGCCATCCAAAATGCAGCAGCCAGACTCCTAACCAAATCCAGCAGACGAGCTCACATCACTCCAGGTTTACAGTCCCTCCACTGGCTCCCGGTAGAATATAGAATACAGTTTAAAGTTTTAGTCCTGACCTATAGAGCTCTTAACAACCAGGCTCCAAGCTACCTATCTGAGCTTTTATCCCCACACACCGCCTCACAGAACCTCAGATCCACATCTGAAAACCTCCTGGCTGTTCCTCGAACCAGACTAAAAACCAAAGGGGACAGGGCCTTTCAGACTATTGCCCCCAGACTTTAGAACAGTCTGCCTTCAAATCTCCATCTCTTGAAATCTGTAGAGGTCTTCAAAAAACATCTTAAAACTCACCTTTTCATCCAGGCTTTCCCCCGCTAAATATTCTAAAAGATGGCTTTGTTCTTGTTCACACCTTGACTTTGTTTTTACTCCTGATTTTGGTTACTATTGTTGTCACTGCTATTGTTTTTATGATGTATTCATTGGTTTGAGGTTTTTGCCCTGATTTTACTCATGTTGTACAGCGCTTTGTGATTTATATCTGTGAAAGGCGCTATATAAATAAACTTTACTTACTTACTACTTAGTCCAGATTGTTTATATATAAAAATTATATGAAAATTCCAATCTCACCCTCCGTGGGTGGCCTCATCCTTCCAAGCTCGGGCCCTCTACCAGAGGCCTGGGAGCTTGAGGGTTCTGTAGTATCTTAGCTGTTCCTAGAACTGCACTTTTCTGGACTGAGATATCTGATTTTTTTTTCCTGGGATCTGCTTTAGCCACTCCTCCAGTCTGGGGG